CTTAGGGTACTCTAGGTGTTCATGGTCCTTTGTGTTTGCGTTTCAGTGTGCTTATAAGGGTCAACTACTTTATACTGATTCCTGATATGAATGAAAATTTCTCTCTCAAAAAAAAGGTCTGTGGCGTTTGGGAGTCAGATTTTATCAGTGCAAAGTCGTCATGTTCCTTAGTTCCACGTGTGGTTGAAAGCATTTTGCAGAATCTAAAACATTGTCACCATGTGGATATAAAATCATGTGGAGTAGAAGGTTGCTGGAGCCGAATCATAATTCAGATCATTTCACGAGCTAGATGTTAATGATATCTTTTATGCATACTAAAATTATCAATAGTAAGCACGAGATTTTTCTTATTGTGGTCCAACGAAAAAAATTGAAAGGGGAAAAATCATGGTCTCTGCATGCATGATGATGCACATAACCATATTATTACCATATATAATTCATATCATTTTATCTTGATCGAACATTGCAAGCAGAAGAGGGCATCACACCCTGTGGAAACCGAATCCTAACTCAGGACTCCGTTCGAGTCAATAAGAAAGTAGGCGCATGTATATATGTATGGTATATTGCATGGTTATTTTGGTCCAATACTAGGACTCCATTTTGGTCCTGTGTTTACCCCTATAAGAGTTATCTTTTTTTTTTGCAGGAAGTAAGAGTTTTTTTTTGAACAAGGGAAGAGTCCAGAATGACTCAGTCATCCATTGATAAGCATGATAGTACATTTTACAACAGGACCCCATGGAAACAGAAAACTACGAACTAGGTCCTGCATTATGCAAACAAGACCCCGAACAAGGGAAGAAGATTGCAATCGGGTCCGAACTATTTGCACCCCGATGGATTCAGCCTCGCCGGCGCCGGGGACGGTACCACTTGGGCCAACGAGACCTCCATGACTCCATGTCATAGACTCCACCGTTAAGCAGGACTGCCTCCCCTTTGGCATCTTGGCCAGGAGGAATGAAGATGGTCGCCCTTCGACCTGAGAATACAGCGGGTCGTCAGAGACCAGGCAGCAACCAAGAAGGGCACCACAGGCTCTCGAAATCCACCGCCGTGTGTGCTCACGGACCCCAACCGCAGTGTCCATCTTCCCCTGTGAGCGCCGCCACTTCTCCATCACCATGATGGATGCTGTAGACAGCAGCTTGGTGGAGATCCCTTTGCAGATCCGACTAGATCCAGCGAGAACATGCACCCAGGATTCAAACCCCGCCGTGTTCTCCCGCGGGTTCCACTGCCGCCACCGAGACGGGACGAAGAAAATAGGGAGGACACTGGATCGGCTCGATCTGAGGCAGCCGCGCACTTATTCAAAGAGCTAGCGCCAGATCCGTCGACTTCCCTTCGCGTCCACCATGGAGGAAGAGCAGAGGACGGCGCCGGCGACCACCGAGCGCTGTACACATGCGACGATGGGATGCACTCCAACGGCATAACGCCAGTCGCCCAAAAGGGAAGTCCAGGCAAACACCTCAGTCCTAAGCTACTATATACAGGAAGAGAACGGCCTCCTCTCCCACTCCATCTCCGGCCGGCAAAGCCGTCGAAGAAAGAGGAGAGAGGAGCCGGGTGCACAGCGGCGGCTCTCAAGGAAGAAAGGAGGAGAGAGAAAGAAAAGGGAGGAAAGAGGAGCCCCCAGCAGAAGTAAGAGTTGTCCTTCTTGCTCAACCTACAAGCAACACTTGTGAATGTTATAAAAAAACTCAGGACTCTTGTTTCAGAACCATATATCTCTACCTAAACTACACCTAATAATAAAGGGGCTATTGCTTTTGGCTGTACGTCGTGAAAATTGCCCACAAAGTAGCAAAATATTACCCACCAATGCCATCTATAAGTGATAAAAAATGTTTCACACAGGGGAATCCCCGTCTAGGCCGGTCCATGCAGTAGAGACCTCCTATACTACGCTTTGTGCGCTCATAGAAGATTCAGGGCGCCCGTTTGGGCCGGCCCATGTCCGCCCATTTGGGAATCCCGTCATTTTTTGAAATTTCGTATATCACTTTTTCTTTTTGTTTTTTCTACTTTACATAATTTGGGACCTCAAAAAAAATTCTGCAAATAAAAATATAATTTTGAAATAAAATGATTGTGGATTCAAAAAATGTTTGCTTATTCAAAACATGTTTGCAATTTTTGATCTATAAGTGATAAAAAATGTTTCACACAGGGGAATCCCCGTCTGGGCCGGTCCATGCAGTAGGGACCTCCTATACTACGCTTTGTGCACTCATAGAAGATACAGGGCGCCCGTTTGGGCCGGCCCATGTTCGCCCGCTTGGGAATCCCGTCATTTTTGAAATTTCGTTTATCACTTTTTCTTTTTGTTTTTTCTACTTTACATAATTTGGGAATTCAAAAAAATTCTGCAAATAAAAAATATAATTTTGAAATAAAATGATTGTGGGTTCAAAAAACGTTTGCTTATTCAAAACATGTTTGCAATTTTTGAAAACAAATGTTTGGGAAATAAAAAAATGTTCATTATTTTTCAAAAAGGTCATGTATTAAAACATGTTATGGAAATTGAACAAAATTTAGCCAATTCAAAAACATCCATGAATAGAAAAAATATCCTAAAAATTCAAAAGCTGTTCATGACATGAAAAATTTATTCGGCCATAAAATGTTCACTGATTCAAAAAATGATCATTCATTTCCAAAAATGTTGCTTCAATCACAAAATGTGTATTAAATCAGAAGAATGCTCGTAACTTTCAAAAATGGTTCCACCAATTTCGAAAATAATGTTCGTTGATTCTGGAAATGTTCGGCGATTCAAGAAAAATGTTTAAAAAATATTCACAATTTTAGAAAAAGTTTTGCAAATAGTATAGAGTCTCGACCTAGTAATAAAGGGGCTATTGTTTCTGGCGGTACGTCATTTAAATTCCTTGCAAAGTTGCAGAATATTACCCATTGATGTCATCTTTTTTTTTTTTTGAGAATCACCGATGCCATCTATAAGTGACAAAAAACATTTGAAACAGGGGAATTCCCCAGCCTGGGCTGGCCCATGTATGGACCACTTATACTGCGCTCTGTGTGTTGGGCGAAAATGCAAAATGCTCGTTTGAGCTGGCCAATTTGCGGGCGGCCGGTTTCCAATTTTTTTTCTTGTTTATTTTCCATTTACGATTTTCTCCTTGAAATAATAAGGTAATTCAAAAAAGTTAAAAAAAGGTAGTAAACCAAAAAAGTTAGTGGGTTCAAAAAATGTTCGCATACTCATAAAATATTCACACTTTTGAAAACAAACGTTTGGGAAATAAAAATGTTAATTTTTTTAAAAGTTCATGTATTAAGAAAGCGTTAATGAAATTGAGAAAATTTGGCCAGTTAAAAAAATGACCATGAATGGAAAAAATATCCTTAAAATTCAAAATTTGGTCATGACTTAAACAAATGATCATGCATCTAAAAAAATGTTCCTTAAATCGGAAAATTGTTTGTAAAATCAAAAGAATGCTCGTGAATTTGAAAAATGCTTCCACCAATTTCCAAAAAAATGTTCGTCGATTCTGGAAATGTTCACCGATTCAAGAAAATTGTTTAGAAAATATTCACAATTTTAAAAAATGTTTGCAAAAAGTATAAAATGTTCATGAATGCAAAAAATATTTTCATTTTAGAAGTTTTTAATTTTTTTAAAAGTGTTCAAGAATTTGAAAAATGTTCACGGTTTCAAATATGTGCACGAGTTTAAAAAAATATTAATGATGTCATAAAATTGAGAGAGATAATGTATATCGGTGATGTAGCTAAATATGGTTAAGACTATTGGAATTATGACTTCTGTTTTCTCCCTATACAACACACGAGCCATTTTGCTAGAATATATCTATACCCACTAATAACATACGGAGCGTTCTTGCCGGTTCACCCTCACGCAATTTTACAGAAAATCCCTGTTGTTTTCAGGTAATTAACCCAACATCCACATTTAAGTGAGAAAACGAGCTGTTTTTTTACTGTTTTACAGAAACTCTCCTCCCTTTTCTAGTAAATAACCTACACTCCACCATTAAGTGACAGAAAACGAATCCTTCTGATGTTTTAGCGCAATCCTTTTGATGTTTTAGCGCAAAACCCCCTGCCATTTCTATAATTAACCCGCAGTCCAACTAGAACAAATAATACTTTTTTAAAATATACGTATCTTTTTAAACCCTGACTCCAATTTTAACATGTTATATATAAAATTTGATTAGAAAAAATGTGTAGAATACGAGTATGATGTTATTTTAGCTTTTAAATATTTTTAAAATGATATTTAAGGTGCAACCTTAATCAATAGCGCATGATCCATCTTACTTTCGTACTGAAACCGACCTGGATTGAAGGGAACACCTCATCAAAGCCAAATTGGAGACGAAAGAAACCGTCAATAACAAAGCATGTACGCCTCGGCAAAATCTTGCATGAAAAAATAGCAGATTTCTCGTCTTATGCGGAGAGAGAGAGAGAGAAAGAGAGAGACGCCTCGGCAAGACCTATTGGAGTCTTAGTCATGATTATTGGGTTAAGACCGTGCGCTATTTTTGTCGGCCGTTGCAACACACGGCCAAACGTGTATAACAACAAAAAGTTTTAGGGAATAATCGTTTGGGTTGTCTTGACATCACAGCCGTCGTGACGTGACGTTATGTCCCAGAACAGTCTTTGCTTATTTACCATTTATATGACGTGACGTTATGTCCCAGAGAAGAGGGCACCACACCCGGTGGACACGGAATCCTCACTCTCAAAGACTATGTCACGTCACAGACGGTTGCACTCTCAAAATCATCTCTGGTAGAATCTCATCCCAAGCTGTTGTTTAAAACTTTTTGCTGATATATCCCGTGTATCAGCAACATGGTATTAGTTAGGGAAATTTAACTATATGATTCTCAAACAAGAGCGTGGGACTTTTGTTATAACATGCACACACGAGGGTTGCCTGTACATTGTTTTTTTTTTTGCGGGTAAAATCTTTGCATTACTCAAATCTCAATGTCCATACAATCTGCCTCGGCTAGCTCTAAAGAAACTGATGGGCCTGACCCAACCCAGGTCATTGTTCTGCCCTCTTGTCTAGCAAACTTTGCTAAGCTATCGCAAACCTTATTTTGCGTACGATTTATATGAGTAATACAAGAATCACGAAGAGACATCAGGTGTCTAATTTCTTTAACTAAAGAAGAGTAGATCGATCTATCAATATCCATCGCTTGAATCAGCTTGACTGCAATAATGGAGTCCATCTCAATAATGATCGGCAAGTCGCTTCTCTGAATTGCAAAAGACAGGCCTTCCATGCAAGCACACAACTCAGCTTCAAGAATTTCTCGGCATGAAAAAAGCTCCCTGCAAGCTGAGTAGATGACATTACCTTTGTCATCTCGCAGCACCATCCCCGCACCAGCCGTACCATTTACTGCAAAGGACCCATCAGTATTCAGTTTCACCCAACCCGCCATAGGGGGACACCATTTGACAGGAGTGCTCTCAACTATTCGAACATGTGGATTTTTAAGTGGCCTGTCGTATGTAACTAATTAAGGACTTCCCTTTGCTCGGATCAGAAGATAGATCAATTTTAAGACCAACCAAGGAATCAAGGTAACTCACCAAATACCTCCTGGACGCTTCCATTGGGGGCGCAGGTTTATGGTGTAACACTTCGTTACGGATGTGCCAAATCTTCCACAAAATCATAAGAAGCATGCACCTCTCGATTTCTGGCAATGGGTCAAGGACATGAAGCAGCCATTCCTTACCTGTATTTCTAATAGCAGCCAAGTCAGGTAAGGACCAAACCTCCGACATTGTTGCCTGTACATTGAGCAAGGAACACAACACTTACACACGACCAGATCGAAGCCCTGGTATTGGATTAAGATACATACATATATACTCCCTCCGTTCCTAAATGTAAGTTTTTTAGAGATTCTACTATCAACTACATACGGATGTATATAGATGCTTTTTAAGTGTGGATTCATTCATTTTGCTCCGTATGTAGTCCATCCAGTGGAATCTCTAGAAAGACTTACATTTAGAAACGGAGGGAGTACATACATGCATGCATGCACCTATCGTCTTATTGACCATGTATACGAGTAGTTACTATGTGCTTGCAACTAGCAACGGTAGTATTAGTACCTATATATACTACGCAGGTAGCTGCATCTAGCACTTAGTGGCGGACCTCCTCCGCGATCTCGTCGGGGGTGCAGCAGCGGCAGCTAGTACGCCTGTAGCAGTTGTGCCGGCAGCAGCGGATGGCTCCGGCAGCGTGTCCAGCGTACCCGTTGCCATCGCCACTGCCACCGCCGCCGTCGTAGCCGACCTGAACACCGGCTTGGGTCTCCTTCTTGGCCTCTGCATGAGCAAAAACGGTACGCATGTAATTAGCCTAATGATGATACATACGAATACGAAACGTGTATATATAGCGAATCAGTTGAAAACTAGTGCGCACGAGTTTGTTCAGCTGTGGCCGCGAGGAAAGACGCAGCAAGCAGCAGGACAGCAAACACAATGAGACCCTTGGACGCCATGCTTGAAACCCTCGTCGACCTTCAATTGGGTGTGCAATATTGATCAGCAGCAAATACCTTGTACTAGCTAGCTGGGTTGTGTGTTGTGTGATGGATGATCGAAGCCAATTTATAGACGGGAGGTCAGCTTGGATAAGATAGAGGGGAGGTCAGCTTGGATAAGATAGGAGGAGCTGATCATGTAACAAGTTGAGGCTGGGCTCTCCTCCATCTCTTCAATGACGTCGGTCTTTTTGGTCTGCCTATAAGTTTCGTTAAATATATTTACTTTGATCAAACTTATAGAAAAAATATCAACATTCATAATGCCAAATTAATACCGTTAGATTCACTACGAAATGTAATTTCATAGCATATATATTTGATATTGTATATGTTGTTATTCTTTAAAATAAATTTGATCAAACTTTGTAAACTTTGACTTCATACAAATCTAATGCGTGGAGTAAAAATGATCGGAGGGATTAGCTGGATGTACATAGGACGCCCGGCTGGTGGGGCCAGATAGTATCCATGCATGCATGCATTAACGTTTCGCTCGCAGCATACATTTACTTGGCATCATCTTCAGGTGTACGTACAAAGTAGTGATGGCAGCGGTGAGGAAACGCGACAAAACTCGACTCGGCGACGGCGCCATATGCATGCACGCACCGATCCGCACCATGGGTACGAATTAATGTAGGTGTGCATCCAAATCCATCGGATAAGATATGCATGCCTTCCTCTGAATTCGGAGTACTGTACCGAAAATTGGCAGGACACACGAGTGCGGGCCGAAATCACTGTTCTGACCTTGTCAGAGTTTTTAGTCGCAAACTGAACCTGACGTGAAAGTATTTCACGATTTGACCCTAGCCACATTGAAACGCCGAGGCAGCTAGCGTTCCTGGCCAACACGGAAACGCCGAGATAGCTTGCGTTTCTGCCCTGGCCCACAGTCAGTCGGAACCCGCTGTTTTCGCTGACGTGGCACGTCAGAAACGCCAATGTCCCTGGCGTTTCTGCCCTGTATGAAGTATTGGGCACGGGGCCGCGCGGGCTTGACCCAGCCCATCTTAGCTCCGCTCGTCGCTCGGGCAGTTCGTCCCGTGAGAAACTGGCGGCCGCCCCTCCCACTTCTTCACCAAATCTCCCCCAGATCTGCTATTTTGATCATCAAAACGAGTAGATTGAAGCACCCCCGAGTTGCTTGAGGTATTCTCTTCCCAATCCTCCATTTATTTTCAGTCAAGATTGGCTATTGTAGATGCATTTTTTCAAACATGGTGGAACCCTAAGATTGGCTATTGTAGATGCTTGAGGTATTTTGTTCCCAATCCTTGTGTTGAAGTATTCTTAGTTAACTTGTATAGTATTGGATTTAGAGAGAGACCATTTTTTAGGATTAGGTTGAACCTATTATTTGTTAATAATTAGTTGTGATAGATTCTTTAGGATAAAATAGGTTGAAAAGAATTGGTGTTGGTAATGTGGTTCGTGATTTATATGTTTGGGATAATTTGTAGTAGTTCTCACACAATTTTGTATATGATGTGGTCATAATTTTAAGCATATATCATAACAAATACATGTACCTTATTTTGTAGGATGTTTGAGCCGGATAAATATCCCGGCCTTGATGATTATTACGAGGAGAAGCATCGTGCTGTGCTTGTGGAAAGAGGGGAGGTAATTATGTATCTACATTGTCGATTCTCATATTGTGAGTATATTGTGAGTAGTTTAGAGAAGTATATAAATTGTGCGTGTGATTTTTGTAGGTTCCTCCAGTACTTCGGTTGAGAGGCCACAACCCACGTGAGTCATTGAGGTATGACCGTCGCTACGAGCCTTATTTTAGAAGAATGGATCTTCTTCAGTTTGTGCTCAACTTTAAAGGCACACCACCATGGCTGAACTCGACGGCCATTACCGCCCTTACGGACCGTTGGAGGCCGGAGACGCACTCTTTTCACCTTGCTCTTCGTGAGATGACCGTCACTTTGGAGGATATTGCGATGATCTCCGGTCTTCCGATCGAGGGCAGGGCTCTTACCGGAAAGGTGAAGTCCGAGGGGTGGCGACAAAGGGTTGCAGGTTTGGTAGGTGTTGAACCTCCCCCGTGGATTCATGAAACAAAGAAGGATCCTAGGCCATCTGGTGTTTTGTTCTCGTGGCTACAAGAACATTTTTATGAGTGCCCAGAGAATGCCAGTCCGGCTGTTGTGGAGAGGTACGCCAGGGCTTACTTATGGAATCTTTTGACCCAAGTGGTGTTTCCTGACGGCACGGGAGACACAGCCTCGTGGATGTTCTTGGACCCTCTTCGTAACTGGGATGTTAAGTGGAGTTGGGGGTCGGCGGCACTAGCCTTCTTGTACCGTCAGGTAATGCTAATTTGATGAATTTTCATTATATGAAAGAGTTTTTTGCATGTGATTGTTTAATGTGTATACAAATGTGCAGTTGGACGGAGCATGTATGAGGAGTAAGCCGAAATCTTGTCTTGGTGGTTTTGTTTGGGCCCTACAGATTTGGATGTGGGAGCGTATCCCTGTGGGCCGTAACTCGACCATTGCTCCGGAAGAACCTTGGGAGTGGCCTTTTGATGGGGACGAGGAGCGGTATCCCACTATCGCATACACGTGGGCTAATGTCCAAGTGTCTAGTATCGCAGCCATGGGGCGGTACAAGGCATACATAAGCGAGCTTGACATGCTTACTTACAACCAGGTAATTATCAAATGCCTTGCTATCAATTCAGATTTTTTGTTGTTGTGCATGAGCTAGTGACATGTTTTGATGTAGGTTAATTGAAGGCCGTACATGGTACTTAGGCAGTTCCCTTTGAGAAATATGTGCTTTCGTGACCAACATCTTTGGCGTGTGCGTTGCCCCATGATATGCTTTTTTGCGGTGGAGTGGCATCTTCCACATCGTGTTTCGAAGCAATTTGGAGTACAACAACGCACCCCGCCGGAGTATGTTGAGACAAGTGTGGTGCTACATAGGTGAGAGTTTTTGTACCATATGTTGATCAATGTGTAACCACTGAAAAATGAAATTGATACCGATACTTCTCATACTTTGTAGGACGAGCCGGCAACACAACAAGAATGTCATTAATTGGGAGGATCACCATCTTATGTGGGTGGACATGTGGAATGCTCAGAGGAATGCCCGAGTTGAAGATGATCACACACCTGACAACGAAGAGGGGGCATATTTAAGGCATTTGGAGTGCCTTCGCAAAGAGTACAGAGTTATCCTTAAGGGTGCTTGGACTCGTGCCGATTGCTTGGAAGTAATGCCAAGTGAGGCTACTGATGGTGCATTCAACAACTCTATTAGGGAGACCATTGGAGCGCACCTAGATTATGGCCCTCTGCATGACCGAGTGGTATGCCTTTTTGTCTCTTTTTTGAACATGTGTCATTTCTTCATGAGTGGTGTGTCACTTAAGTTTTATTCAGGGCACGGAGCTATGGAGATGTATCAATGATAGTAATGTGGTGCTTGGCCGCGCACCTGGTAGAGAAACGGACGGTCTCATTAGGAGTACTCTACAGGTTAGAGGCCTTTTTAATATGAACATTTATTTTATATCATGTGAACTATTTTTGCATATTTACATGTCAATGCCTTTGACTCTGCAGAAGGCTGTGAATCGTTGCCGAACACTAGCCTCATCTCTAAGCTTCTTCGCAGCCTTCTCCCACCATCCCGCCATCTCATCTTCGCCATCCTCAAGCCCCTTCATTGTTGCCTTGTTGGGTTGAGAAGCCGCCATATCTATGAAAAATTGCAAGACATTAGTTAGTAAGGACAAAAACAACATGAAAATAATATTGGGAAACATGAAAATAATTATGAAGTGTAGCCACGTACGGAAATGGTCCATCTAGGTATCCAAACATTCCTCTAGCATTACCATG